TTTTACTAAAGCTCAACAAAACGAAAAACGCTTAAGTCCTAAACTTCTTAGTTCAGTCTCATTACAATGTTCTTCTCTATCGTAAATGCAAATCTCTCAACGTTCTTCTCCATCGTAAATGCAAATCTCCAACAACATTGAATATTTCTCAAATTTAAAGTCGTGGTCCCTGATTCTTTTTTGGTACTTGAAGATTATCAGGTTTCTGCAAAGTTGTGGTCTCGGGTTAGTCTCACTTGTGATGTCTATTTAAGTTGTTTGGTGAAATTCGATTTGTTTACTATCTTAATAACCCCACGTCGCTTTAATTTTTCATCTGTCCCACATTATTCTAGGGTTCTGAAGTCTTTGTCGTGTTGACTGTTTCCATTTAGGGTTTTGGTACGTGGGTTGTCCGTATCTGTGAGTGTAATGTCAAATTTACCCTTTTTCTTATATGTAATTTACAGGAAATAAGGTTATTCAAGGTGGTATTTTACAACAAGCGTCGTTTTTTAAAGGACCCAAAGTTAAGGTATAAGGGTGGGGATATATATATGTATTCAGTGGACAAGACTCAGATTTCTGGTTATTCTTTGAAACTGATGACCTAATTAAGGGGATGAACCCAACCTTTAATGTTGATCAAGTGAAAATGTGGTGTAAAAAAGAACATAGTTCTCTTGAGAATGATCTACAACCATTTACAAATGATGAAGATGCATTATGCTAGCTTTGGCTACTGAGAAGAATAATTATGATGTTGAAATATATACAGGGCAAAAAAATTCTACAGGATATTCGACCTATATGGAGAGGTCAATTGAGAATCAAAAGAGACATGGAAGCGTTGAAGGGAGTGATGAGGATAGTGAATTAATTGAAGATTCAATGGATGGTATTCACTTTGATGATAGTGAAGATGAGAGAATGTATGATTTTGATGATGAACAAATTGATGAATGGTTAAGGAATAATGTTGATGTATGGTAAAGGGGTAATGTTGATGAAGGGTTAATGGATAATATTGATGAAGGGTTAAGGGGTAATGCTACCATTCATCCATGCAAGTTTACCAAAGTAGAGATGGATAAGGCACATATCATAGAAGAAAACTATATGTTTGATCAACTTGATAGTAGGGCAGATGAAGATAATTATGATGATATGCCTATAATGATTAGTTTCAATGAGGAGGAAACACTAGCAAAGAATTTCAAATTCAAGTTGCGAATGGAATTTTCATCAGTGAAACAATTTAAGAAGGATATATTGGAACATAATGTGTTGAATCGTATGGGATGTAAGGTATGTAAAAAATGATGGGAATAAATGTAGGGTTATTTGTAAGGACAACAAGAAGTGTAACTACATTGTCCTATGAAGTAGATTTTTAAGAACTACAACATTTAAGATTAAAACTTTGTTGCATAAACACAAATGTGGAAGAAAGTTCTACAATAAGAATGCTAATGCTGATTGGGTTGCTGGAGTGATCGTTGACATTAAAGAACAATACCAACATGAAGTTAAATGAAGTGGTAGCATATGTTAGATTGAGATTTGCTAGATGTTCAAGAGAGGTCTAGGTAAGTCAAAGAAACTTCTCAGAAGAGAACCAGATAAGGCATCCTAAACAAGATGACAAAGATCAAACACAAGCCGCGTGCGTAAGACATGCTTAGAATATGGGCACAACAAAAGAACATGTAAGAAGAATAGATAAGTTGCAATTATTCCTGGTGAATTGGCAACGAATGTTGAAATACCAACCCAAGCAAGTCAAACTCCAAATGTGCAAACAGTACCAAAGAAAAGAGTTAGTATTACTTATACTTAAAGCCTGTCTTGTAGTGTTGGTAAATCCCATAGATTACATGCACCTTTATCTAAAAATGTATATTCTACTCCCTTTGAACTGGTTCATGTTGACTTATGGGGTCCTTCACCCAATCCCTCTAGTCAGGGATATTCATACTATATAGCCATAGTTGACACATACACCAAATATACTTGGTTGTACTTTCTGAAACAGAAGTCTGAAGCCTTCTTTAAGCAATTTCTTGTCTATGTGCAAACTCAGTTTAAAGCTCAAATAAAAGTTGTACAATCTGACTTTGGGGGTGAATTTATACCATTCACAAAATACTTAAATGATTTGGGCATAATTCATAGGTTAACATGTCCTCACACTTCACACCAAAATGAAACTCTAGAAAGAATACATAGAAGCATAGTAGAAATGGGATTAACACTCTTGGCTCATGCTCATATATCTATTGAATTTTGGGATCACAGTTTAACTCATGTTGTATATCTATTGAATAGGTTACCAACATCTAATTTTCCAAACATCACCTCTCCATATCATGCTCTTTTTAACACTATACCTGACTACAAAAGTCTTAGAACGTTTGGTTGCTCATGTTTTCCTCACCTCAGACCTTTCAACAAAAACAAACTGCAACTTAGAAGCTATGAGTGTGTTTATCTAGGTACATCTCCTCATCATAAGGGTCAAAAATGCCTCAGTAGAGGGAAAAAAAATATCAAAAGATGTAGTATTTGATGAAACAAAGTTTCCATTTAACTCTATATTAGGCAACACAACAAAAAAGAATAATACTTGCTCAAGCAACTTCCTATCTGTACCTAGACTGATGCTTCATAAAAGAAGTTTAGAAAATTGCTCTACTCAGTCTAATCATGTTCAGTCTGCTACACCCCTTAACCAGGCTGACATTAATTCAGGTCAAATCAACTTCACTCCTAGTGTCACTTATAACAATACTCAACAGTCTTGGAGACCTCAACAACAAATATTGGACACTTCTAATAGTCAAAATAACATTTCTCTACACATTGAGTCTGAGCATACATTAGATCAAAGTGAGCGTGAACAAATGTCTTCTTCTCCACATCAAAACAATCTCACTACACATATATCACCTGAGTTATCTTTATCCCCATCTATTCATGATACAATATCAATAATACCCCTAGTCATTAATAATCATCATATGGTAACCAGGGGATAAACTGGAAGTTTGAAACCTAAAGTCTTTTTTACTCATATTGAACCCACCACAGTCAAACAAGCACTAACTCAACCTCATTGGTTTAAAGCTATGCAACAAGAGTACAATGCTCTAATTTCCAAATACACTTGGACTCCCACCTCTCCTCCCTCTCATAGAAAAGCCATAGACTGTAAATGAGTGTTTAGGGTCAAAGAAAATTCTGATGGCACTCTTAACAAATATAAAGCCATATTAGTTGTCAAAGGCTTCAATCAACAGTATAATTTTGACTATCATGAGAATTTTTCACTTGTCATAAAATCAGCCACCATTAAAGTGCTTCTCACTTTAGCCTTAACATATCAGTGGGATATACAACAAATTGACATCAACAATGATTTTCTGAAGGGATCTCTAGAAGAAGGGGTCTACATACTACAACTACCAGGTTTTGAAAACGAAAATAAAGCTCTGGTTTACAAGTTAATCAGGGATATATATGGCCTTAAGCAGGCCTCTCAATCTTGGTATGAGAAACTACACAAGACACTCTTTCAGTTTGACTTTATAGCCAGCAAGTGTGATCACTCTTATTCATCTACAATCATCAATGTATTACCCTATATGCTTTAGTCTATGTAGATGTCATACTTGTTACAGGTTCCTCATCTTCTCTAATTCACAAGGTAATATCTAAGCTTCATAATGAGTTTGCTCTTAAGAAACTTGGTAAGCCAGAATACTTCTTGAGTCTTGAAGTCAAGTATCAGATCAATGGATCTCTCATCCTTACACAAACAAAATATATCAGAGACTTTCTTAGCAGAGTTAACATGGAAGAAGCAAATGGTGTTGTTGTACCTATGTTCATCCATTGTAAACTTAGTAAATTTGGTACTGATACTATGTAGGATCCTTTATTGTACAAATCAATTGTACGGGCCTTGAAATACATCACACTCACAAGATCAGATATAACTTATTGTGTGAATAAGGCTTGCCAATTCACGGCTAACCCATTGGACAGTCACTGGAGTATAGTGAAGCAAATTCTCAAGTACCTCAGTGACACTACCACACTTGGTTTAATGTTATCTCCTGCCAACTCGAATCAAGAACTATCCATTAGAGCTTATAGTGACTCAGATTGGGCCAATGACCCTGATGACAGAAGGTCAACATCTGGAACTTGCATATTTGTTGGTCCCAACCTGATTTCTTGGAGCTCCAAGAAGCAAACTCTTGTGGTAAGGTCAAGCGCAGAAGCTGAGTACAGAGCCTTAACACACACTACAACATAATTACTTTGGCTGCAGTCTTTACTTGCTGAATTAAAAGTCAAATGCCTCTCTCCCACTCTATTGTGTGACAATTTAAGTGTTATGTTGAGTCACAATCTTGTCTTACATGCTCGAACCAAACACATTGAGCTTGATATTCATTTTGTTAGGGAAAGGATAGCTGCAAATAAGCTCAAAATTCAGCATGTCTCAGCTTCTGCTCAAATAGCTGATATCATGACAAAACCACTGCCCAGTTCTACATTTAAAGACCTCAGGAGCAAGCTCAAAGTCGTGTCATTGCCACCACCTTGATCTTGAGGAGAGTATTAGTGTGTGTTTTCTGTATTGGGCTTACACCTGTTATTGGGCCTTGTCATGTATAAACCCTTTGTAAGTGAACTTTACCACCGTAATAGGATAGGATATAAGTGGTTGAGAATAGTTAGAAAAGATTATGGAAGATAACAAAATTGTAATAAAAAATAAAAACTTCATCTTCAATATTCTTGTAATGAAAGTGTAGAGTATTTCATACTCTATTAACAATTAGGATGTATGAGCAAGACCCTCGAAATCAAGAGTTTGTGATACCATGCAGAAAATAGTACTCATGTATTTTAGTTGTGTGTGCCCTACGAAGTTACTTAAAGGACTTGCACTTCTCACATTGTATAAAAGCATAATAAATACTCTCACTGTATGCTGAAGAAGTTCAATCATGATGAGTCCAAAGGAAAAGAAATTTGTGAGGTTTGTACTTTATACTTTCAACCATGTTATTCAATTAGCATCACATGTATTGTTGTTTTATATTCTATTCATTTTCTTTTGAATCAGAAAAAATGGTTCTATATGATATGATATGATACTTAACTCACTTTATATTATTGTTCAGATTTGAAGATTGGAAATCAGAATCATCATCTTTTAATATTTCACAATATGATTCTTCAATTGATGGATTTGAAAAAAGAAAATCTAAACCAAGTTTTAGTCCTGCAAAAAACAATGAACCATTGCAAAAACCAGCTTCTAGGTGGAGTGTTCTTGATCCACAAGGTCCACTACTTCAAAAATGGAACAAGATCTTTGTAATAACATGTGTCATGGCAGTGTCGATGGATCCGCTGTTCTTTTACATCCCTGTGATTGATGACGAGAAAAAGTGCCTTGATTTGAGTGGAACTTTGAAGATTACTGCGAGTGTTCTTCGCACCTTTTTCGATCTTTTCTACATTCTTCGTATAGTGTTTCAGTTTCGAACCGGGTTTATTGCTCCTTCTTCGCGCGTGTTCGGAAGGGGTGAGCACGTTGATGATCTTTGGGCTATAGCAGTTAGATACTTAACTTCTCATTTCATCATTGATATTCTATCAATTCTTCCACTTCCTCAGGTATCAGAACTCAAAGTGCTTTTTTGATTTACTTAAGGACTAATCAAAAGCGAAAAGTACTTATTCAGAAATTCAGTTTCTTAAGTCATATATGTACTAAAAAGTGATTTTTAAGGTGAAATGCTTAATACAATGTTGTTTTAACATTTGCAATAATGTGTTATTAGATGGTTATTTTGGCTATAATTCCAATTCAACGATGCTCAGTTCCATATATAGCAAAGGATTGGTTGAAGTATACAATAATAACACAGTATGCACCGAGACTTTTGCGAATCTATCCGTTGTTCAAAGAAGTAACAAGCACTTCTGGTATATTGACTGAGACGGCATGGGCTGGAGCTGCTTATAATCTTTTTCTTTATATGCTAGCAAGTCATGTAAGCTTATAATTTTGTTACTTTTGTCACAAGCAACTAATTATATGTATGTTCCTTGTTATTAATATTATGCTAAATTTATGTGGTATATACTAGGTGGTTGGAGCTTTTTGGTATTTGTTTTCAATAGAATCAGAGTTGCGGTGTTGGCGCAAACGATTGAAGAATACTGGACTTTTTGATGATTCCTATTTGAGCTGTGGATGGGTTAATTCGACTGTTTTTTCGTTTCTCAGCAACTCGACTACTTGTCCTTTCAAAGAACCCGATGATATCGTTGATCCAACAGTTTTTGATTTTGGAATATTTATTGATGGTCTAGAGTCTCGTGTCGTCGGTTCGACTACAGACTTTCATCATAAATTCTTCTACTGTTTTTGGTGGGGTTTGCGCAATTTGAGGTTGGTGACTGATTTTCTCTACTATTGGCTCCATATGTAAGGTTCACATTCTAAAAGTCGATTTTTTTCGGTTGTTTTTTGCAGTTCTGTTGGGCAGAACCTGAAGACAAGCACTTATATTGGGGAGATAATCTTTGCGATCTTCATCGCCGTCTTTGGATTGGTTCTATTCGCATTACTTATTGGAAACATGCAGGTAATTCTTAGTAAGGAAGGACTCTGAGATGGTATCAGAGATACGGGTGAGAATAAGTCAGATCAACTGACATGAGTCTATGACTTAGTGTCAGACTCATCTCACATCAGACCTTTTTTAAAATAGACCAGACCGAAGATTTTTAGAAGCCTATTTATCTGAAAATATTCATGCGATAGGATATTAGGACGGCTTAGTCGCCGAAATAATGTACTACTTTACGAGTCTTTCTTCTATTGGAAAAGATTATAGGTTGTGTTGTGTTGATTCTTGTGACAGAAATATCTACAATCTACAACTGTTAGAGTTGAAGAGATGAGAATCAAAAGGAGGGATGCAGAACAATGGATGTGCCACCGTATGCTACCGGAGTACATGAAGCAAAGAATTCGACGGTATGAACAATACAAATGGCAAGAAAATCGAGGTGTCGAAGAGGAGACGTTGATTCGCAACCTCCCTAAAGATCTCAGAAGAGACATAAAGAGACATCTTTGCTTAGATTTACTTAAAAAAGTTGGTATCATACATAATAATCTCATTTTTCACTCTGTTTTTTCTTTCTTCACTTAACTATACTTGTTTACATGTGATGAACATTTGATAGGTGCCTATTTTCGGCAACATGGATAAACAGTTGCTGGATGCAATGTGTGATAAACTCAAACCAGTCCTTTATACCGAGAAAAGTTATGTTGTTCGCGAAGGTGATCCGGTGGACGAAATGCTCTTCATCATGCGCGGAAAACTTAAGACCGCAACAACAAATGGTGGAAGAACTGGTTTCTTTAACTCGTCGGAGCTTAAGTCTGGTGATTTTTGTGGAGAGGAGCTTCTAACATGGGCATTGGATCCTAACACTTCCTCTAACTTACCTATTTCAACTAGTACTGTGGAAACTATTTCAGAAGTTGAAGCTTTTGCTCTCATGCATGATGACTTGAAGATTGTTGCTTCTCAATTTCGCCGTCTTATCAACAGAAAACAACTTCAACACACTTTTAGGTAAGGCTTGAAAAAATGTTACACTATATTAGCATGAAAAGAGAAGACAAACCTCATTGAGGACAATGTTGTTTGAGCAGGTTCTATTCATTGCAATGGAGGACATGGGGAGCGCGGTTCATACAAGTAATATGGCGTCGATACAGAGAAAAAAGGGCTCATAAAGCGTTACGTGAAGCAGATGTAAGACTACAAAATGCTTCTGAAAATGAGGAAGAGTGTTCACCAAGCTTTGTTTCCACCATGTATGTACAAAGGTTTGCATCTAATGCATTAAGGCACTTAAGAAGTGACAAAAGAGTGATGCTGACGCAGACACAGACACCGACAAAGAGATTGCTACCACTCTTGCCTAAGAAACCAGCTGAGCCAAATTTCATTACTCAAAAGAACTAACAGTGTGTTGTAGAAATAGTCTTCTTGTCAAGTTTAGTTTTTTAGTAAACCAGACTCAAGAAGTGTGCATGCTCAAGATCATTATCTATAGCAAATGATGTTGGTTTGATTGAGAATTTGTAAAACTATGTATGTGTGCATATATATGTAAATACAGAAAATGTGTAAGAATGTGTAGTGACTATGGTTTGGTATGCATTTAATTGTTGAAGGTTATGTTTTTTTACACTATTTGATGATTTTGGAATCTTATGTCCCAAAACACATTTTGAAAACATTTTTCTTGTTAAATTAGAGAAATTAATTTGACACTCCTCATATTATATTTGACATCTTCTAAAGGGCATGAAAAGACAAAATTGTCCGGACTCAAATTATCATAACAGATTTCAAATTCTCGTAGACAATCGGATTTTTCAAATTTTTGGACGATACCGGAAATTTTGAAGGCGCTACCGGAAATTTTGCGAACAAGTGAGAATTTAAGGTATTTTTGTGAAATTTCCGATACTTTGTACCGGAAATTTCAAAATATCCGGTATTTTCATTTATCATTTATACCGGAAATTTTGAAATTTCCAGTGCGTCACATAATACCAGAAATTTTAAAATTTTTGGTAGTTCAATTTTAATTTCCGTTATTTTATATTTTCCTGATATTTTCTTATTTTGCAGTGCGGAACAGAGACATAGATGTTCCATTGCGGGACGGACCACTGACAGAGTTGATGCTGAAGCCCGTGCTGACGAGGCACAGACTTCAGAGCTACGGGATGGACGTCATCCTCCGACCGGTTCTCACCGGAAACGGATGGCTGAGCAGAATGTGCAGTTTCAGGCAGTGTAAGGATGGATACCTGAAGTTATTTCACAGTGTGTCACACCCTCGGATCATACCACCGACTGCAACATCTGATGTTCTGGAGCCTTCTGGTGCTAGCCCATCTACAGAGCCACCACCACCACCTCTACCACATGCAAGAGATCAGGACAACCGACTCCAGTTTATTGCAGTTTATGCTGACAGTCTTATGGGTTTGGTAAACTCAAACGGTGAGATCTGTAAAGGTTTAGCTAGGTTAGTTTATGTAGTATGTGGAGGGCCTATGTAGATCTATTTTATTTTGGTTGTATAATATATATATATTTTGTGACAAACAAACATCTTATTTATTACATAATTTTTTGGCAAAACCCTATAACAGTACAACAAACATAAAACAGTACAACAAACATAAAATAATACAACAAACATAAAACAGTACAACAAACATAAAACAATACAACAAACATAAAACAGTACAACAAACATAATCCAAAAACAACTAAACAAGAAAACCTATCTAGACACTTCCAGAATATTTTGGACGTTTCAGACACTTCATTATATCGTAGACGGATTTTCAGATCTACGCATCCAACTCGATCGGATCTTTAGTTATCCTACGATGAAATGATTTCTACACGGCCTTCACATCTTTATAATTCTTCAACTCGGTTAGGTTGCATTTCACCCATCCATTTGTATCAATCCAATCCTCCCGAAACTCTACCTTTGTCACCCTTCTGTTATCGAAATCAGGCAGTAAATTATTCAACGTTTCTTTCAAGATGGAAAAGAATTTGGAGCCATCTGGAAGCTTGAATTCAATAGGACGGTTGTTGTCATTGTAATACACTTATGCCTTAATCAGAAATTGAGGAAGAGACATTTTTTTGAGATGTGTTTTCTCTATAACAAATGCCCATATTTATACAAATGGTGATGCATTCTAGACCATACAAATGTGTCGATGCAATCAGAATCATCCAAATATATCGGCAAAATCTTAGTAGTTCAAAAAATCATGTTTTTAATACTACTGTAAGTTTCAAATTAATTGAAATTTCTGATATATCGGAAATTGTATATACACTACCAAAAATTTATGGTACCGGAAATTTCGCAGGGGTGTATCGAAAATTTGAGTGGTTCCAGAAATTTTAATCCTTCTATTGGAAATTTCGTCCGAAGATTATGTTCAACTCATCCAAGGATAAAAATGGAATAAAAATTTTGGAGGGGGGGGGAGGGGGGTGTCATGTATAATTTTGGAGGTAGCATGTTAAATTCTCCTTAAAGTAAGTTCAATTAACTTTGGAATTCTTGGTCTAAAGAACTAAAACACGGCCCTTGTTATCCTCACACCATTTTTTCTAAAAACACCCCCCTATCCCTCCTTTTTCTCCTAATAAAAGGAGAAATGAGAATATAAAAAAAATGAGTATGAGCAACAACCATCACAAAGAGTAAAGATAATCTTGTGTAGCGATTAACATTAGTGAACATGTAAATGAGTATTTTTTGACATTGTAAACATTAATGAAAATAATATCACATTATTGCAAATCGGAAAATATATTTTGAAATTAGGTTTACAAAACATTTTCCTTTTATTTTGATGTTTTTTTTAAAACTTTTAGTGCCCTATTTCAAAAATCATCTTTTTGATCCCTCAACTTTATATCCCTTAGAATTTTGTTGAAGTTAATGATGAATATGTTGAAGAAATGGGTAGTGATGGTAATGTTGTTGATTAGCATAATGTTGAGGTTAATGATGAACATGTTGAAGAAGTATTTGATGAGGATTATGTTGTAATTGAGATAGTGAATTTCCCTTTAGTGAAGAATTCAAGTAGATAGACCGGACTAAAGTTCTACCCTCCTTGAGATTTTATATGAGGTTTATAGTGGCAACAATTAAAAAGTACCAGCTGATATGGAACATGAAGAATGTGAAGATTATGTTCATTTGTACACCTCTCCTGGGAGTGATGATGATGAAGAGGTAGTTAAGTTTCTAATTAATATGAGTGGTGATTGAGTGAAATTTTATCTAGGGATAATTTTTAAGAATATGATAAGGGATGTTATCAAGGATTATAGAATGGAAAATTATTTAAAAAAGTGCTCATTAAGAAGAATGATTTCAAAAGGATGGTGATTCAATGTATGACTGGTTGTAAGTTCTGTGTGAGATTTAGTAAATGGAATGGGCAGGAGTATTTGAAAATAGTTAGTTTTGTTGATGATTATACATGCCACACAGGATTGCATATAACAAAAATGTAAAGACTAAGTGACTTGCAATTTTTTTTACAAATATCCTTAGACATACTCCTTATATTAAACTAGTGGGGATCATAGCTGAAACCAATGAGAAGTGGGGAGTGAAATTATCACAAGATCATGAATATAGGGTAAAAATGAAAGTAATGGAATATATTCAAGGTGCTGAAATTGATCAATTCAACCATTTGAGATGTTATGCAGAAGAGTTGTTGAAGTTAAATCTTAATAACATTGTGGTTATACAATACCCTTAAAGCAATGGCACTCATATTTTTGAAAGGATCTATATCTATTTAGAGACTTACCAGGTAGGATTAGTGTTGTACCTCAAAATTTACCCTCTCATTTATCTAGACTTTTCTCACAAGACTTCTTGGACTCAAGACAAGATCAGGGTTTGCTCAGCTCAGGACATCTCATCTTGCACTGATAACCCAAAATTAGGGTTTGAGTTTGCACAAGGATTTTTGGACCACCAATGATTCATGTGACTTTCATACATCATTTTGGACCCCTAAGATTACTCATGTTAAGTTTCAAGCCTTGAACCACATTTTTGATCAGTCAATTGGACAGTTGACCTGAAAATCAGCTGTATTAAGGAAAAAGTCAACCATGGCCAATTTATAGTCAAACTTCATAATTTTTGATCCACATAAACATTTTAGACTCATATGTACCATTTGATCAAGTTTGGATCACAACTCCTCAAGAAATTTGATCAAATCATCAAAAAGGCAAAATAGTCAAAATTAGGGTTTTGACTGAGAAAGGGCAATTTCTGATTTTTAACCTAGCCAATGACCAATTGAGTTTAAATATGATTTTAAGGGTTCAATGGCATCATATTGACCTAATTACATGGTTCAAAAGATCTCAAGTTCATTGGATTGACAGATGAAATTTGCAGTCAACTGATCAAAAGTCAATTGTATACTGAAAAGTCAAACTTTGACTTTTTGGTCAAAATCAAGTGCCAAGGGTCATAATTCATCAAGATATGTCAAAATATGAAACTTGTTCACCAAGAAAACCAAATTTGAAAATTAGGGTTTTAATTTGAAAAATTTTCATAACTTAGAATTTTTCTAAGTATAAATTTTTTCTTATTTTTCTGAACTTTGCACCACTTTTTCACCATGATGCATTTTGATTCAAGAAAAACTTTCGACATGAAAGTTGTAGTCCTCCATGAAATCTACAACTTTGCTTCACAAACTTTTCCCTAAATATGTTTGGATCTCAAGTTATGAATTTATGAACATAGGGCCATGAACTAAATAACTTAGTGAAATTTTGCCCTAATTTAGGCAGGTTTTGGACCTAACTTCATGGACATTTTTCACCTAGTTCCAAGAGTATCTCAAAATTCATTTTAAAAATGGATTATAGAGCACATTGCAAGATTTCCAAAATGTCCAAGAACTCTCCAAGATCATTTTTGAGTAGGGAGAATCGAAGAGAGGAAGTTGACATTTTATCACTTTTGATCAAGCCATTTTCACATAGCATCAAGTTGCAAATCAAATCTATGCTTGTTATATCTTGCTTTACAGGTCATAAGCTTGCTATAAACTCCATAATTAAATGCATACTAAGAAGCTAAAGCCTTTATCTTTGCTTTTGAAGCTTTACACAAGATGCATTTTCATTTTGGGCAAAAAGTTCACATTGCCATTTTCATAAAGAGGAACTTTTGCAACTTTGTCAATCTTGAGCATTGAACCTATCCCCTTGATACAAGCAATATACACATCTCTCAAGCAATTGGTACAATCTCATTTCAGCCCTCAAGCAAGCAAGTACAAGCATGGCAAGTATAGTCACTTCACTTTACTTCAAATGCAAGAAAAGTTGCAAAAAGGTCCAAAGCTTGCACAACTAGT